CCAATTTTTTGTTTCCAAAAAACATTAAAGTCGGCACCCAATTTGCACTGATGTTTTCTCTTTACATTAAAAAAAAAATTTTTTTAATACACTTCCAGAGGACAGCTTCCCATTTCTACCTAGATTAGAAAATCAGTTTAGAAAAGACGGCCATTTGCAGAAAAATGGATGGAACTAGAGTTTATCATACGAAGTGAAGTCAGACAGACAAAAAAAAAATACAATAGCACTTAAATGAGGAACCTAAAAAGATGACACACATGCACTCCCTAGCAAGACAGAAAAAGACTCGAAGACTTAGAAAATGAACTTATGGCCACCAAAGGGGCAAGATGGGGATGGGGAGGGATAAATTAGGAGGGTGGGATTAACATATCCACAGTAATATATATGTAAGTGATAATCAAAGGACCTACTGTCGAACACAGGGAAACCTACTCAACACTCTGTAATACCTTATATGGGAAAAGAATCCTAAAAACAATAGATATACCTATCTGTATAACTGAATCAGGTTGCAGTACACCCAAAACAAACACAACACTGTAAATCAACTATATTCTAATATAAAATAAAAATTAAATTTCAAAAGAAAAGGAAAGAGAAGAAAGGCCACCGATATTCCCTTCAGGGCTCGGTGACCTGGGCTGGTGTCACATCCCTGGAGCCAGAGCAGCCTTGGGTCCCAAGTCTAGACGTGGTGGGGGTGAGGGAACTGGGAAGCAGGTGCCAGCAAATGAGCCTCTCTTGGACCTGACAGGCGGACGACAACCTCCAGATGCAGGCGGACCCTCCTACAGCTCAACCAAGCCTAGTGCACCCAAAGGTCGGTGGACCCTCACGCTGCATGAGCTTTGAAAAATCACCTGGTCTCCAAGTCTCCTGGTGGTGGGGTTCCCATGGGCAGCCTCCTTCCTCGGAGTCTCCCCACCTCCGCACGACAGCAAGCTCAGCATAGCGTTTTTGGCAGGGCTTGGGAACTGTCGTGGGGGGAGCGGGGAGCGAAGGATAAGGAGGAAGAAGTAAGGAAACACGAGCTCTGGGGTGTTTCTTCTGCCACAGTCCACTCGAATCTACGACCCAGTAACAGGACTTCCTCTAAGGCTCTGGTCGCCGGTAACCCGAGTGGGGCATGAAAAAATGCTGCCACCTTGTGGCCATTTCCCGTAACAACAACTTTAAAACCGGTCCTAGGTATCCCCCTAAGGGACACTTCATAACAAGGACTGCGGGGCTCTAAAGCAGGGGTCCCCAGCCTTTTCGGCACCAGGGACTGGTTTCATGGAAGACAATTTTATGGACAGGGGCGGGGATGGTCCCGGAAGTAATGCAAGCGATGGGGTGGATGGTTCCAGCGGCAATAGGAGAGATGGGGGGTCGTTTAGTCGGTAATGCGAGCAAAGGTTCAGGTGGCAATGGGAGTGACGGGGAGCGCTGGGGAGTCACAGATGAAGCTGCGCTAGCTCTCCCGTGTTCACCTCCTGCTGTGAGGCCTGGCTCCTAACAAGTCGAGGCCCGAGGGTTGGGGACCCCTGCTCTAAAGAACACCTGCCCTCAAGAAATGTCCTGGGGTACCTGATCGAAAAAGAATTCAAATCAGGGCGGACTTTTAAGAAACCAATTTCAAGAGGTAAATTTAATGCACACTGTTTTGTTTTTGATTTTTTTTTAATGCACATGAAAAGATGCTCCACATGGCTAATTATTAGAAAACCGCAAATCAAAACTAGAACAAGGAATCACCTCACACCAGTCTAAATGGCTATCATCAAAATCTACATACAAAATATGCAGGAGAGGGCATGGAGAAAAGGCAACCCTCCTAAGCTGTTTTTGGAAATGTATGTTGGTAACGGCCACAGTGGAATACACTACGGAAGTTCCTTACAAAACGAAAGCATCATGGCCGCTGAGCCTGCGCGTCCGGAGCCTGTGTTCCGCAACGGGAGAGGGGCCACAACAGTGAGAGGCCCGCGTACCGCAAAAAAAACCGAAAGCATTATCCGCAATCTCATTCATGGACCTATATGTGGAGCAAAAAACATAATTCGAAAAGATACACGCACCCTGACGTTCACTGCAGCACTATTTACAAGGACCAAGACACGGAAGCAACCTAAAAGTCCATCGACGGATTAAAGAAGATGTGGTGTAAATCCTTGTAAGTTGTAAATTATTGTAAACTATACTTCAACAATAAGAAATGAAAGAGAAAACATTTTCTGGTCAAGCAGTCGGACATTTTCATGATTTCAGTCTCAGCCAAGGTGGGTTTTTGGCAAATTTGACGGCTCCCATTAACGCTTCCATTGCCCTTCTCTGCTTCTATAGAGGCAGGGAAGGTAAGAACCCTGTGGCAACCCTCCACAACGAGGGAGCTGTGGACAAATGCCCCGGCCTCTGGGCCTCAGTCAGGGTCCTTGCAGAAATGAGCACCAGTTGCCCACAGAGATGTCTTTCTTGGCTTTTTCTCCTTCCTGCTCTCACAGCTGACCCCACTCCTCCCTCCCGCTTCCTGGAAATCTCACAAATTATCCTCCTGCATCCAAGATCCTGCTTTAGGTTCTGTTTTGGAGGAACTCAAACTAAGAGAGTTCATGAGGATTTTTTTTTTTTTTTTTGCGGTACGCGGGCCTCTCACTGTTGTGGCCTCTCCAGTTGCGGAGCACAGGCTCCAGACGCGCAGGCTCAGTGGCCATGGCTCATGGGCCCAGCCGCTCCGCGGCACGTGGGATCTTCCCGGACCGGGGCACGAACCTGTGTCCCCTTCATCAACAGGTGGACTCTCAACCACTGTGCCACCAGGGAAGCCCCATAAGGAAATATTAAACCAGTAATAAGAATTACACCATAGAGCTTCAGAAAGCTCCCACAGATGGTGTGAAATAGAACTCATTAGTTTCCAGGACATATTCCTCCACTGTAAGCTACTTATTAGACTTCTACAATGGGCCACACACGCGCTGGGTATGTAATTGTAATAGGGAAGAACAAATCTGACTCCATATTACATCTATTTCTTTCACTTTAACCTTTGTATTCTAGTGCTTTTGCTACAAGTTAAGAATGTTGCTTGAAATATACAGGGTAGCCCATTCTCAAGGCTCTGACCTTTAAAGGTATGACACTTTTCCATTCCGATAGAGATAAAAAGTTGCAGAACAGAGAATAAGATTTGTTGCAGGTAGGGCTTCCCTGGTGGCGCAGTGGTTGAGAGTCCGCCTGCCGATGCAGGGGACACGGGTTCGTGCCCAGGTCTGGGAGGATCGCGCATGCCGCAGAGTGGCTGGGCCGGTAAGCCATGGCCCCTGGGCCTGTGCGTCCAGATCCTGTGCTCCGCAACTGGAGAGGCCACAACAGTGAGAGGCCCGCGTACCGCAAAAAAAAAAAAGATTTGTTGCAGGTATACTGAAACATTGTGACCTGACCTCTGGGCAGCTGCAAGAACAAAGGATTCCGATACCAACAAAGGCTTTGCAGCAACCAACCACACGACTTTCCCTTTTAGTATAAAAGAAGCCAGAATTCTAACTTGGGTAAGACAGTTCTTTGGGAAACTATTCATTATCTTCTCCATCTGCTGGCTTTCTGAATAAAGTTGCTATTCCTTGCCCCAACAATTCGTCTCTCAATTTTTTGGCCTGCTGTGTGGCAAGCAGTACGAGCCTGGACTTGGTAACATAATGGTGAACTAGTAAATACAGTCTATACTTACGGACATTAAACAAGCACTATGTAAATTGCATTATGGAAGTATAGGAAAATATAGGAAAGTTAGTGTCTAGGAGGAAAAATGTTTTTCCCTCTACTCTTCCGAGTTTTTCACTGAGACACCTGTAATAAAGGATTAATAAGAGAAAAACAAGCAGAAGGTTATAAACATTTGGCTCATGTATATATGGGAGATACCCAGGGAAAAATAAATAAGTACTCAAAGAGGTGGCTTGAGAATTCAGGATTAAATACCATCTTTACAGGGAAAGGGAAGGGGGCATGTAGGCCTCTTAGGGGAGAGTAAATGATTTTCAAAAAAGATGAATGGCGCCGTAAAAGAACAGATGAGAGGTATGATAGTTTGTGACAAGGTTTTTGACTGGGTGTGGTGTTGACCTGTAGTTTTCTCTCCTGTGATGAATCAATCTTCCCTGGAGTTTCCCGGGGAGCGGATTTATGACAATTGAGCTCCTTCTGAAGGATGTGTTTCTAGGCAGATAAGGGCAGTTCAGAGACTACCATACTAAGTGAAATAAGCCAGGCAGAGAAAAACAATATCATATGATATCAGTTATATGTGGAATCTAAAAAAAAAAAGATACAAATGAACTTATTTACAAATCAGAAATAGACCCACAGACATAGAAAATAAACTTATGGGGGCTTCCCTGGTAGCGCAGGGGTTAATAATCCGCCTGCCAATGCAGGGAACACGGGTTTGAGCCCTGGTCCAGGAAGATCCCACATGCCACGGAGCAACTAAGCCCGTGCGCCACAACTACTGAGCCTGAGCTCTAGAGCCCGCGAGCCACAACTACTGGAGCCCACGAGCCACAACTACTGAAGCCCGTGCGCCTAGAGCCTGTGCTCCACAACAAGAGAAGCCACCGCAATGAAGAGTAGCCCCTGCTCGCCGCAACTAGAGAAAGCCCGCGCACACAGCTACGAAGACCCAACGCAGTCAAAAATAAAATAAATAGATTAGGGAGCGGGACGTTCAGCTTACGAGCGGGAACGTCTTAGTCGTACACGGAGAAAGAATGATTTAAAAATGGGTGATGGTGGGCTTCCCTGGTGGCGCAGTGGTTGAGAGTCCGCCTGCCGATGCAGGGGACACAGGTTCGTGCCCCGGTCCGGGAGGATCCCGCATGCCGCAGTGCGGCTGGGCCCATGAGCCATGGCCACTGGGCCTGCGCGTCCGGAGCCTGTGCTCCGCAACGGGAGAGGCCACGGCAGTGAGAGGCCCAAATACCACAAAAACAAAAAAAAAAAAAAAAAAAAAGGGTGATGTTGAGAAGGGAAAGAAGATTTTTGTTCAGAAGTGTGCGCAGTGCCATACTGTGGAAAAGGGAGGCAAGCACAAGACTGGGCCAAATCTCCATGGCCTGTTTCGGCGAAAGACAGGTCAGGCTGTCGGATTCTCTTACACAGATGCCAACAAGAACAAAGGCATCACCTGGGGAGAGGAGACACTGATGGAGTATTTGGAGAATCCCAAGAAGTACATCCCTGGAACAAAAATGATCTTCGCTGGCATTAAGAAGAAGGGAGAAAGGGCAGACTTGATAGCTTATCTCAAAAAAGCTACTAATGAGTAATAGTTGGCCACTGCCTTATTTATTATGAAACAAGTGTCTCATGACTTTTTATGTGTACCATATTTAAATGAATCTCATACACTAGAATTCAGATCATGAATGGCTGATGTAATATTTCTGTCCTGATTTAAATAAGATTGGCTCGTGGCTAAATGAATATGGTCAGCTTTTTGAATTTTGATAGTAATTCTGGTTCAGCAAGTACTATCACTATTTTCCCCTTCTAAAGAGGTGATTAAACTTGAATAAGGAATGTTACACTTTTCAGGGATATGGTGAATGCCTTCTCAAACCCTATCGGAGATTGGTTTTATATTTAGATTTCTATAACTGGTTATATTAATATACTTAAATATTGAGAAGCTCCCTTCACTGTCTCATAGACCAGCAAGAGTCACCTGTGTTTCAAGTTGTGTTCATTCACCTGTTAAGGCAAGGGCTGAAGATACACTGACAATGTCCACTTTACCTTTTTTGGTCTTAACTATGCCAATTTAATTAAAATTCTCCATCTAAAAAAATAATAATAATAAAATAAAAGAAATTATGTAAGAAAATAAACTTATGGTTACCAAAGGGGAAAAGGGTGAGGGAGGGATAAATTACGAGTTTGGGATACATACTGCAATATATAAGACAGATAACCAGGGCTTCCCTGGTGGCGCAGTGATTAAGAATCCGCCTGCCAATGCAGGGGACAGGGGTTCGAGGCCTGGTCCAGGAGGATCCCATGTGCCGCAGAGCAACTAAGCCTGTGAGTCTGAGAGCCACAACTGCTGAGCCCGTGTGCCTAGAGCCCATGCTCCACAAGAGAGGCCACAGCAAAGGGAAGTCTGCACACCCAACGAAGAGTAGCCCCCGCTCACCGCAACTAGAGAAAGCCTGTGTGCAGCAACGAAGACCCAATGCAACCAAAAATAAAAATAAATAAAATTTAAAAAAAAAACCCAACAGATAACCAACAAGAATCTATGGTAAAGCACAAGGAACTATACTCAATATTTTGTAATAACCCATAAGGGAAAAGAATCTGAAAAATAAAAATATATATATATATGTATATATATAAATAAATAAAACTGAATCACAGGGCTACACACCTGAAACTAATACAACATTGTAAATTAACTATACTTCAATAAAATATATATATACATTTTTAAAGTATCTATATCTCAAAATAATCAATATACCAACAAAGCAGCATATTTTGTGTGGCACGTCCAGAACTCCTAAAGTTGTAACTTTCCCTAAATGTCGTCTTCTCAAAAAACTCGTGCTGAATCATTTCAGACTAGATTCAACTGGGCCTTCAAGTAGGAGTTAGCCCAAGAGTAGGCAAGGGCTATTTCCTCCATGTACAAGGACTGAACAAGGAAGGTGGACATCTGAACTGACCAACCATGTTAAAGGTTTAAGGACTTCAAAAATCATACAGTCACCAAACATTCCCCCCTTTCATTTCACATGGGTCAAATATCCCAAGAGCTGAACAAATGCTTGGACACTTTCAGGGTATTAATTCCCAAGAGGATCAACGTGCTGTTAAGATTGAAACACGGCCTGGAAAAGCACCCTTGCAGTCAGACCGTGCACCTGGTGGATTCTCTTCTTGTTTGACTGGGGACGGCAGAGAGCGTGGCTCTTCTACCAGGTGGCAAAAGGCACTCTACCTTGTTTCAAAGACCCACAGCGTCAGGTTCACAAAGATGTCACTTTAAACTGGTTTGAAGGGCGCCTGCTTGCTGAATCCCTCAAGGAGCCTCAGAAGAATCTGATTCTTACAAACCTTTAGTGCACACACACTCCCTGAGAATGTGAATCAGCTGAATTCTTTCTGAACACGTGCACTTTCGCACAGTGCTTTCTATGCTAAGAAAAGGCAATAAATACGTCTTTGGTGCTTCTGTGTTTATGATCGATGGGCTTTTTTCTTAGAGCAGTCTTGTAAGGGTCTGCCTTATTATTCTCGCTGCATACTAATACTTGAAACATTTTAGTAAATCATGGTTCTCTGGCTCCTACTTCAGGATCATTTAACTGATTTAATGAGCTCTGTCTAATTATCGCATTTCACCTTTCACGTGAGAGTGCAGCAATGTTTTGGCTGAAATAGGTGGTAATAGCTCAAACACTCAGAAAGGAAAGAAAATGAGGACGGGTAATGCAGGACTCACAACAGTTCATTTTATGCCAGATAGAATTCTTAAAGATATACGTACATAGCTGTACTATGTACACATTCATTCATTCATTCATTCATTCATACATTCATTCTGTACTCATGTGTGCTCCAGGCATCGCAAAAGACACCAGATCAGCTTCCGCGGCCCTTTCTTAGGTCTGCGTCCATTGAGGGGCATAAAACACGATGGTTTATAACTCTTAAGCTAGACTGTGTAGATTTACATCCCAGCCTCACCATTTCTTAGCCATATGACCTCGGGCAAGCCAATTAACCAACCTGTTTCCCCATCTGTAAAATGGGGGTTATTATCGTAGCTACCATCACAGGACTATTGGGAACATTAAATGTCAGTACATACAAAGCATGTAAAAAAAGTGCCTGGAGCATAACAGGCATTTTGTAATTGTTGCCTCTTGCGTTTCTGTCATATTGTGTCTTGTCTGTGTCGCACATGGCAATTGCAATTGCCTATCTACTTATCTATTTTTCACTAGTTATCTATTACGTATTGTTTGTTTGCCTCCTTCATCAAACCATAGGATCCATAAAGACAGAGACTAAACTCGCTGAGCCTGGCATTGTGCTTGGCTTATAGTAAAACACCCAATCAAAGTTTGCTGAATCAGTGAACCAATCAATGAATGATTCTTTTTTGGGATGTGTAACCCCCCTCTCTCTCTTTTTTTTTTTTTTTTTTTTTTTTTTTGCAGTACGCGGGCCTCTCACTGCTGTGGCCTCTCCCGTTGCGGAGCACAGGTTCCGGACGCGCAGGCTCAGCGGCCATGGCTCACGGGCCCAGCCGCTCCGCGGCATGTGGGATCTTCCCGGACTGGGGCACGAACCCGCGTCCCCTGCATCGGCAGGCGGACTCTCAACCACTGCGCCACCAGGGAAGCCCATCCCCCTCTCACTCTTGACAAGCTTTTCACTTAAGAGATTTCTGTGGCACATGTCTATCAAATGCCATTTGCTGGAAATTCCACATGGTTTTCTATCCAGATGGTGCCCATGACAAAGCGAAGGCGTTCTGGCATGCAGGAAAGTTAGGGTGATGGACGCCAAGCCAAGTCACTGTATTATTCATCATCAAATGTTGGCCAGGGAGCTGACTGCTGCCAGCTGAGCCCCACAGTGGTCCAGTGAAGAGGCTGGTTTCTAACAGAAGCTAGGAACATCATTAGGGAGGGAGGGTGCAGCGGGAGGAAGATGGGAGTTAAAAAGGGAGAAGTTTCTCAGACTTGTCTTGGCTTTGCAACCTTGGGCAAGTCACTTCACCTCTCTGGGCCTCTCAGCTTAGTGTTTTTATAAATGCAAGGCGCAAATTGTCATCAGTACTTCCCAAACCTGGCTGTGCACCAGAATCTACGGGGAAGCTTTTTTTTTTTTGCGGTACGCGGGCCTCTCACTGTTGTGGCCTCTCCCGTTGAGGGGCACAGGCTCCGGATGCGCAGGCTCAGCGGCCATGGCTCACGGGCCCAGCCACTCCACGGCATGTGGGATCCTCCCGGACCGGGGCACGAACCTGTGTCCCCTGCATCGGCAGGCGGACTCTCAACCACTGCGCCACCAGGGAAGCCCCGGGAAGCTTTTTAAAATACCAATTCCTCTAGGCCAGCAGTCAGCAGAATTTTTCTATAAAGGGCCAGTTAGGAAATAGTTTAGACTTTGTAGCTTGTATGATGTCTGTTGCAACTGCCATGCTCAAGTCTCCCACTGTGTCATCAAAGCAGCCCAGGATGAAATGTACACAAATGAATGTGGCTGGATTTGGCCAGCTTCCCTGGGGGCCATGGTTTGCTGACCCCTGCTCTAGGCCAGGTGTGGCCTCCCTGGATAAGGACCAATTTTCTGTTTATTTACAAAAGCTCCTCCAGATGATCTCGAGAGGCAGCTGCACTTGGGATCCACCAGATGAGACGCTATAAGGCTTCTTCCAGCCTTCACTGGAGCTTTGATTCTCTACTTTCACTGTGAGAAGTGGCCACTCTCAGTCAACACTATTTAGACAGTGATCTTAATATGCTTTCAAATGCATACCACTTGGGTACTAGCTTTCTACATCTGAAGTTTTTACTCTCTCAAAATTCAATTCTCTACTCTACCAGGAGAAGTTTGAACAGTCCTTTTCACTATGTTTAGACCTAAAGCACTTCTGTGTGTGATATGCCTTGCCAGTTCTTTGTAAGTGACAACTGCACTGCTAACTTACAAATGAGAAGTTTAATATTATCCTGTCTAGGCCCTAAATGGCTACGATAAGGTGAGCCTCCACTTAAGAAAGGATAATACATAAAAATATGAAATTATGAAACAGTTACGGGTGTTTAGAGTGTTGGGGTAGAACTTCCTTTGTATGGAGAATTCCCTTTCTACTAAAGTCATGACTGTTGGGTGACAATACATCCTGGTTTCCTACAGACAGTCCTAGTTTTCACCTGTATTCCCTGAGCAATTAACATAGCGCCCCCTTTCATTCTCAAAAATGTCCAAATTGGATGATAAATTACATGGTTGCATGGGCGACCTTGAGTGAAAACAGTCAAAACGACTGTTCCATTCATTTTGCACTTTCTAAGAGACAGGCACTGCTCTGAGGGTTTTAATGATATTATCCCACTTAATCATTACAGTATTTTGCTGATGGCTGATGTCTCTAGGTTGGGTTTCCTCAAAAGCAGGCCAAGAGGCAAGGATTTGGGGACAAGTAGTTTTGGGGGAAATGCTCTTAGGAAGCACAGGTAGGGGAATAAGGATGCAAGGCAGGGAAAGGAAGGAAGCCAGCACACAGTACATTTTTGAGTAGGTTATGGCCCTGAGGAAGCGGGGCTCAATTTCCCTGGGAACCCTCTAAGAGATAAGGTCAGCATGCCCTCAGGAGGGGCAGGGAACCAACAGTTTT